TCACTGCAGGTGATCTGCTCCCTGTAGATTTTCGAAAGTGTGTGATTACAGAAAATGACGCTAAAATGAGGGCGAGTGTTTCTACGTTGTCATAAATATCTTATGATACACCGAAAATTGAATCCATTCCTGATTTTAACAACATTTCCTCATTTTTGCGTAGCTATCCATATCCCGTCCGGCTCGAACCAAAAGAGGACAGGTTGAGCAGGTTGAATAATCTGAACAAATGCTCCACTTTTCCCTCCATATATGGTCCTGGATGTTTTTCATCCGCCATTCAGGATCTCACGTCCATTTGTTTGCTATTCGCCGCGCATCCGTTTTTCGACATCCGATGTCTAGTACACTAGCCTTAAAACATAAGCTGGAAATCCTGTATATAAATGGAATATATAGTCACTTAGGGCCGTGATGAACATATAAATTAACTCGCCGGCCAACTAGTTTCGGTAAAAATTGCAGGTGCGAAGCGTATGGCGGACGAGCCATAATATCAAGGTTGTTCCCATTTACTGCGGCTATACCAATTTACTGTTGTGTGTGAAATGCCGTGTGGTTGAGCGGTGTGCAATTGCGGGTGAATCACATTTTGAAGGACGCGCAGCTAAGGGAAATTCTAGCCGGTGGCACATAAGGCTTGGCTATTTACTTTCAGGACGAGTTCCGCAGTTTCTCGCTTTCGAAATTTACCTTATTGCTGCTTTGAGTGGCGCAACCGGAAAAGAAGAAGGGAAACGTGAGAGGAAGGGAGTATTTCTTTTTCTTCCTAACGCGTCTCAAGCGTCATATAATGTTCATCAAAACTTATCGCAGTATGAATCTAAAAATTTCTATGATGCGCCTTTTTAATCATTTTGACATTTGGAGCTAGTATTACCTTAACTCTTCGAAAATGTTTTCGCATTGGCAAAAGCGCACTTTATGACGCGCGCGCTGCGGTCGCGATGCCTTTGAGTCGCAATGACCAAAAACATGCGCTGTATAGGATAGTGTGTCAAGAATTGTACCCTAGACTTTTTGTAAATGTGACTGTTGACAGTTATGCTTCCACATTTCAACCCATATTTTGTACAACATTACGATTTTTATTTTTCTTGAAATTTTACATGATGCCACAAAGAATTCAGCAGAAAAATTGCAAAGGCACTTTTCGGATTAGACCCATTGAAGTTATTATGCAACTTTGAAGAACTGAAGAAAATTAAGGTTTTAATCCTCTCAAAACTGTGTCACTCACAAAAGCTTATAAAATTCGTACGCCAAATGCGCTAAAAAGTTGGAAAAACACTTCTTTGACTTGAATGTTAGAAGAGATATCTTATTAGTTACTATAAAATGTAGATTATGCAAGAAATCTTCTTCGTTCTTTTCCATAAGGCAGTGTATTTATTGGATACCAATTCATGAGCTTTTTTGAATGCGAAATCATAAAAATACTTGACTTTTGGGCGGCAGTGCCTAATTTTGGCTCATGCCACCATAAAGAGCAGATTTCATACCATTTCTGCACTTTACTCAAAATAAGCTGACTGTACTTATTTCCTAATCCCCAAAAACATGACTAAGCGCTTCCGGTCAGCGATTTACCTTCCTTCGCTAACCACGCACAAAGGTCAGTCTTGGCGGGCAATTTGCGCGTGTTCCCATGTTCTGGTTTTTCGCTTGTCGCTATCAATTTTCCTTTTCTAAAATATGGCTGTGATTTTTCCTCTCTTCTATCGAAAACGGGAGGAAAGGTCTTCCCAGACCTTTCCAAACCATTTTTCGCTCTTTCGAAGAAAAGGCTTTTGTGATTGAAGGGCTAAAAACACTTCGGAGCGTCATTTTTCGCGAAACTTCCTGTTTTTCATCGACTTCCTCCGAGAGTTTATAGAGTCAGTGTCATAGTTTGTCAAAGCCAAACAATATCGTTGACCTCAGCTTTGGTGATTCACACCGACTGCTGATCCTGTTTTGCAAGGAGACCAATGTAAATATTAGTTTGCACTTGGAACTTGTTCTCGATTAAGATATAGATGGAAGGAAACGTTCATACCTTTCCTAACATGTCTTTTCTCATAATGCTGTTAGCCAAGCTAGTCAGGTTTTCGTGTGAGAACCGATCTACAATTTTTTTCAAAATTTTTTCCCCTCCGTTGCATACTTGTCTTTTACTTGTTCTACGTACTTCTCTGCTGGAAAAAAACAACATATGAGATCACATTGCACGGCAATCAAAGACGCCTCAATAGTAGCTCCTCAGTAAAACGTTATTTGAAGTAACAAACTGCGGAAATGTGTGCTAAACGCTAATATATATAAACATAAATAGGAAGCGACCAGAATATAATAAGCCATCACTGGAAATGAGCAGGTTATAGTCTTACAAGTCATCAAGTAGCGCGCAGTGTGTGCAATACGCATGTGTATATAGCTTGCAAATGATTCGATTATGACTTTATGAACCCCCCGTTCGGTGAAAAATCTAGCTGTTTTACTTAAGAAACTTAGAATGAAAGTATTCAAGCTGCCAATCTGCAAAAAATCTATTAGGTTGTAACATAAGTCTTGAGACACTCCCACTTCTTACGACAGTGATTCATACACTTCATATTTTCAACCAGGATATCATTCAATAGAGCAAATCAAGCTCTTCAAAACAGTGCGCAAATGTCTGCCACCATCTTCGATCCAACATGTGTTTGTATCCGAAATCTGAGCTGTACTGAAGGCTCACATCGCGAAAAATTCATATCTTTGTTCAAAAAATCCTACGAATCTCCAGTTTGCCCATAAAAATTGCACACTACATCACTCAAATGTACCATTTCTGGATTTCCCTCATTTAGAAACTGAGAAAACGAAAATTTTCATATTTATACAGAAACGCAGCTATGCTGTAATAATTCTTTTTCCCTTAAAAAAATGAGGGAATTCCAGTGGCTCAAAGTTTACATGGTGCTTAGTTGCACAAACTTTTGATTCCAATCAGTTCTATCTTGCCATAATGGAAAGGAATCTAGAAATATGTTTTGATCTATCACTGTCAAAAGTTTTTTTTACTTAATTATCCTCTCATGATTTATTGTACCATCTACCATTATTAATCACCAAAAAATCCTAGTCAAAGTTCAGCGAATTCCTGACACAAAGCTTTTTGTCGATCGCGCTCTGGAAAGCTGCATAAGCGATGCCCTTTTGTTTGACATTCGAAAGAAAATCTGCATTATTCAGTAAGTCAAAAACGAGGAAGTTTTCCTGGAAAAATTTTGAACCTTTGGTGAATAATCTCGTCAGCTCTCTTTCATTCTTCAAAGTTGAAAATTTTTTGGATTTTAGCCCTGATCTTGGGTATCGCGGGATTGAGGCCAATTAAGGAAGTGCTCTGTATAGGCTTGTCGTACGAAAATTCGCATCGCGATATCTCAGTTTTTCCCAACTTGAAAACTTTCTACCGAATCTTTGCGAACGATGTTACGTACAGTTTCGCTCCATTTCAGCTCTGTTGCGCAATTTTCCGTCCCATTTCTTTTGTGATGATTCTTGATTCTTCCTATTGAGAGACAGTATCTTGCGTACAGATCATAGCGCCGCCTGATCGTTGTACTAGTCGTAATCCTAATTCTTACAATCAGAATCTTACCTGATTGTAATCGAAAATATCCTTCACAATTACGGTATCTGAAAGGCTATGAGAATCTTTAAATCATAAAAAAATGTTGTCGGAGCTATTAAGGTTACTTTGTCCTCGTAATCCTCTTAACAGCATTAACTTCATCATGCCAATATATAACGCATTTTTTAGAGCTTACCAAACCTTGGCAAAATTCCAAGCTGAGACAGTTCATTCTCTCACTGATTTGGTCTCCTTTGCCAAATCTGGATCCTATCACCAGGGTTTGTGTGATTACACACGGCACATCAGTGTGGCGGGACAAGGACCGTTGTCTATATAAGCTAAGCGAATGCGAACGCGGTTGTGATTGCGTCACCTTCCCTTCCGTGATATAAGGCCGGGTTTGTGCCCGCTTTGATTGCATGGGACAACCGCATCCGCTCGGAAATGAATTCTAGAGAGCCTGAACTTCTTTACCTAGCATGGACGATCACCGTGTAGTAAACAATCGGCCATGAACGTTTGCAACGCCTCGAGCCGAGTTGAGCAGAAATCGGATCTTGGTATCTAATATGTGTGCATTCAGTATGCAGCTGCGCATTAAATACTTTTCTAAAGTTTTACATTTTCTTTCAATATGTTATGGGGGAATCAAGAAAAAAGTAATAAAAAGCACTCATACAAGTATAAGTCCCAGGATCCTACGCGCCATTCGTATATTGTGTGCATTCGCACATATCAGCTTGTAAATCTTGTCTTCTAGATTTTATTCATCGTATGTCATTATCTGGGACAAAAGTAAGAAAAATACTTGAAAATGAGCTTAGAGACTATACCTGTATTTTACACGCCGCCTGAATATTGTCAGCAATCGCACATAAAAGCTTGTGAAAAGACGATTACAGTCGGTGTCAACGTGTGCTCCCTTGCCGATCAACTCAAGCGCAACGTTAGAACTCCGTGTCGCGTTCGCGGGCGTACGCTTGAGCGTTCAAATCTGCCGCATCGATCGCAGATCGCTGCGCAATGACCATGCGTTGCGGATGCGTAGTAGCTATGAAAAAAGGAGCCGTGATTGACACCATTGTGTGATCGATGACTGCTTTGGATATTTTCGTATTTTTTTTTAAACCTGAAGCGTTTCTCTGAAACTAACAATCATTTCTCCAATCCGGAAACTGTAGGATAGAAGACCCTTGAGAATTATTTTGTTTTGAATGCATTGCGTTATAATCTTCAGACGTCTATGCCACAGAAAAGTACTAAATTGGACAGAGCCGTCGCAATTATGTCAGTTACAGTGCGTTTCTGCGCCTGCTCGACTCTGATGTGTTATGTGCAGTCACAGATAACCCACAATCCATCACCACTTTGTCTTACTCCTTCATTCCCATCGCGCATTGCCCATTAACCTTCGTGACTGATCCACATTTGATGGGCCGCGGGTGTTTTTTGCAGCCGTACAGCCCCGCAAAGGTGTTGATAGATCGTTCACTCCTAGCGCGCAACCCTGCGGCGGTAGCGTCGGCACTAGCGCGCGCCCTTTAACACTGGGGCGGTCAGCTGTGTTCTGTGTGTTTGTATCGTCCGGGTGCGCAGAGGGGCCCATCACCACCAGCAGCAGCCCCAATCACTCACCGAGCGAGCGGGTGCTGACTAATCACACTATTCGTCGCTACTTTACTCATCGTCGTTAGATGCGCAGACGTTAACATTACGGTTTACGGTCGCGTAGCGTCGTTGCAGGCTATGAGTAGCTGTTATGCGAACGAGTCTCCAACATCTCGTCCCCCTGGAACATATTACCCTTTCGATGCAATGGAAATAACGCCATCATCGTCGACTTCACAGTCTTCACCCATACTCGAAGACGTTCCCGCCATCACGGCTGTTCCCATACCCAAACCGAGGACAATTAAACCGGCACCGGCACCATCATCGACCCCGCCAACCGTTCAATGCTCCAAACCAGTACCTCCGAAACGAAAACCACTAGCTTCATCGTTTGTAAATGTACGAAATTCGCCATGTGATCGAGATCCGGTCGATGTAATTCTCGACGTGAATAACAGCCTTTGGAGAAATATTCGAATTGAAGATATGGATGCGGCCGTACTGGTGGATGCTAATCCATCAACACCACAGAAAACGCGGCCAAATGAGGAGAACGTTCGGCGAAAAGAGTGAGTTATTGTTCGGTTCTTCTCTTTTTTTCTTTTGTTTTATATTTTTTTCACACTTTTTGACGTTTATTTCTCTGTTTTTATTTCATCTAACTGACACAAGGGACTACAGGTGACTTCATCAGTCTCAATGACTGAGTAAACATTCTAGCGCTCTTTTTATTATCCCATCCTCTTCTCTTTCTCAGAGCTTTTGCTTTTCCACAGCTTTGTTCTAGAATGGTCCATTTTTTCATTGGAGCGTATCACCCAGGTTTTGTTCCATTGGAATTTTTTAGAACTTTTTTCCTGCTTGAGGTTTTTTATCGCTATTCTATGACTTCATTCTTCAATCTAGTGTGTTTTTTCACTTCTATGTCCGAATTACATGTCATTTATGGAAAGATTGATAGACATATTTCACTTGTTCCTGCTTTTCCTGCTGCTGCAAGTCAGTTAAACGTCTGTAGACAAACCTTTATTTTTGTTGTTGACGTTTTTTTTGTTTTTCGTTCCTTTTTGATTCTGCACTTTGCAATTGTATCATTTGCACTGGTTGATTTGCGCAGCAAACTTTTTAGCAGCTTTCTACTTATTTTTCTCATATCAACCTTTATCAGATGTGATAGGTTGTTGCAGTAGAAAGATTCATTAGTTTCTTAGTTTGCAGCAAACGTTCATACATTATGCCTATAGTCTCTCTTCATTTTCTGTCTTCTTCGAATACCAGTCGTCTTTTCAGGATTACTTTGTTAATGGGTTCGCTCTTTTCATAGTCAGTCATAAATTTTCTCCAACTGCCTTATCATTGATCATCCTAATAGATCTCAAAAAGTCAAACAGTGTCATATTCATCAAAATTGTCGGCTAGAAACTCGTTTTGCGCTCTATTTCCACATGACTTCTCCTCTTTTATTACTTTAGCTGTAACCTTCTTCCTTAATGGGCAGCTCGTTTTCGCATTTTTGGCTTCCTCTCTTGGTGAAGTTAAACTTTGCTGATTTGACTAGGATTTTTTGTGGTAAATGTTTTTCATCGTTATCTTACCACCGCAATGGTGTTCATCACTCGTACATCTTACGGCGATGAGTAATCACCTCGCGTAGCTGCGTCTGCGCGATCGCGTTCGCGTTCCATTCGCAAACCGCGCGATTTGCCGTTCGATTGAATGCCATCTCACATCAAAATTTGTGTGTCATCGCTCAATGCGTTCGATACTCGATCCAAAGTAGCACGTGAGAATGAGGGAATGGTAGTACTATATGCTACAGATCCTATGACGAACCGTCAATCCCTGAGGTTGGTGAGATTGTAAGGCAGCACATTGGGGCGATGCCCCTGTAAGTTATTGCCCAAATCCCCCTGCAGAAGATGTATTCCGGAATGAGAAAATCACTCCAGAAGGTGAATACTGCTGCGGTCGCCACGCCCATCAGCGTAGGTGGTCTAAAGGTGATGAGCCCAGCACCTAGGCTCAATAGTATTAAGCAATATCGGAAATTCCTCTTTATTGTGAAGAGCAGATTTCGACATTTCTAACTGTGGAGTTCAGTTTCGAGCTCGCTACTCTAGAATTTACGTTAATGGGCGTGGGGGCCCCAGCAGCACCCACTTTCTAAGTCGATTATCTCAGTTCGGAATGCAACTCTTGCAGCGGGACTTGGGCAGTCATTCAGTTAAGGGTCTCATCTACTGTAGTTTTTTAAAATCTTCCATTCTCACATTTCGACGGACGCTGCCTTTAAACTATCGATCCAGGTAGAAGACGCTAGCGTTAGGGCCTTTTTCTATGTTTATGAGGCCACTGTAATATCGTTCCATAATATAACCTGTTCTTTGTACTGACGAAAAACTGTACGCGCTGTCAAAACATTGTTTTCTATATTGATCGAGGGGGAAATCCGACCTTCGTAAACACTAGACGAAAAAGAGCGATCGGGGGGTTTTTACGAAGCTAGAAGGCTAGGTGTCGCTGCAGGACTGGATATGACAACAAAGGGTAACAGCATGCACTTTTGTAGTCACCGCCACTTATTTCTGGTTTTAGTATTTCTTTTTTAATGGATGTGGTGCAGTCATTTCGGCAATTTCTGCAATTGCAAGTGGCTCAATTCCTTATGTATTTATTCATGCTTTTGTCTTGGGTAAACTTACCTCGTTGTCGTTAACTGGTTGGCTATTAGTATTTTCTACTTTTTCTGCTAGGAAGCGCAAAGTATGTCACACTTTCTTCTTTTTCTCTCTAAGCCAGTGCCCTTGTTTCGCGCTGATTACGGTAATTGCTTGTCTACGCGTACGTGCGTAGTACCACCTGTCTGTTACGGAACAGTCATTTATGAATACATAGTATTGATGAGCAATTCATCATTTGTTCAATCGTCAGAAAAGTTATGACATCAACAAATTCCGGGACGTGGGGGGAGTATGATGTTCATTTATCAGATATCTCAGAGAAATTTGCTAGACTGAGGAATGTCTATTTTCAGAAGAAGTTGCTAGACTAAGCAATCTTTTAGAGTCAAGAAATCGGAATATATAATTTTTTGTTAGCGCTTACCCTCCTAAACACCAGACTTTTGTAAATGTAAGTCTTTTGCCGAAATCTCATACTTTTTGATCTCCTTTTGTTTTGCAGTTGATTCTGGATGATGTGCACCTTGCAGAACGATAGTTGTAGTTTTGGTTTCATTTTTCCAGTTTTTTTATTTTTTGTAATTTCTCAGTTCTTATTTTGATTGTTCTTTTCTGTGAATGACGATAGTGTAGACATCATAGCTAAAGATTTACGAAATCCTGCACGGATAAAGGTTATTTTTGGCATAATAACGTTGCATTCTGAAAGGTTAAACGAATGACTCATCCCTCACTAAATATTTTACGCGTCTCAGCTATTCGAAGAGGTTCATCATTCGGTGTGTAACACTTGAATGTGTGCCATTAGTTGTGAAAAGCGATTAAGCAGAGCGAAAACCAAACAATACACAGCTTTCCGTTCACGCTTACGACGAATGGACGATGTGATCGTAGAAATGATACCAATCTTAGCGATCATTCCTGGCACGTTTTCGTACGAGTGTTTTGACAAGGTTTCGCTTTTGCTCGGGGTGTAGTAGCATATTACTAGTAACTTTCTCGAACCAGACTGACTAGAAATAATACTATTGGAATATCTATTTCTTAGAGAAACTGAGCGATGAGTAACGCATGAGTAACCATGTCAATTTTTATAGCTTCAATTATTTACTGATCTCGTTATGTCTCACAGTCTGCGTCTGTTATTTTCACGTTGAATGCCTTATATTAAGAATTTTCATTCAAAGTAAGCTTTCTAATATTTCGTGAAATTCTGAGCTCATTCGCTATCATGAAAGAATTTCATTTGTTATTGTGGATCCCACTTAGCTAGTTAGTTTTGCCAGTTTTCGAGACTTCTGTTATTTCTCGAAATTCTCTTTGTTTTCGGAATTTTATTGCGCCAGCTAGGTTAATAGGTTATTTTTTCGGGTGTATGTCAAGAGGCGCGATTTTTGCCAGATGGATACTAAATAGCACATAACAAGTGCTTTATAACTTTCTAAATTTATTCAGATCTTAGAAGGAGATATGTTAGATAGCTGCATGGGTTGTTCAGTCTTATTACCCTGAAATCGACTTAAAACAATAATTTTGAAGGTCAAAAATTTATGAAAATGCAGTTAAGAACAAATTCGTAAATATTTCGGTCCGTTCTCCAGCAAAAGCCATCAAATTCAGCGAGTGGTAACCTCAGAAAGAAAATAAGCTAATTTAGCTGCAGTTTATCTGGTACTTTTGAAGACTCGCATAGCACCAAACTGGGCTTTCAAGTTGCTGACAGCCAGAGAGCGCCTCTCCCTTTTTTTGCGCATTTGTTTATTGTAGTCTCTAACGTCATAATAAAATTCTGGAAGCTTTGAGAAAGCACCTCTCTCCAATTACTCATTATAGTAAGCTAACTACGCATTCAGCTGTCTCCATAATGCCATTGAAGGTGGTTGTGTCCGTGCGATTCTAGATTAATAGCCTACTATCGTATCCTTGCTATACATTCTTTCATCTTTTTTTTCCTAGATTTGCTGTCAATAGATTTAGCAGGAAGATCTTCGTCTTCGCTTATGCGTAAATTTGCGCTGCAACTGATCTATTGGTCTTTTTTCTCTACTATCAAACACTTAGGATTTTCTTGTAAAGTTTCCTAGGCTGTGGCTTGTTAAATTTATGTTCTCACTGCTAGTCGACAGCTGTGCCAGAAACTGCGTAACTGCATGATCCTCTGCTGTCTTTTGCCAGCCTGTCATTACACCATTAGTCATTGTCAGTAACAAGTTCTTCTCACCCTCTTGGTTCAAAATGATTTTTCTCCGAAAATGTGACAAATCTAGACTATACCACTTGTCCGAAAATAGAGTTTGTGAACAGCAAGGTTCGAAATGATTTCTCTCCATAAAAGTGATATGAATCTGGACTATGGCTCACTTACCTGAAATAGAGAATTCAGCAATGTGTTCATATTGAACTGGATTGAATTATTCTCGTTTCTCGCTTTCTGGATTTTATTGTTACAGGAAATCCGGCTATGAAAACGACATCGAGAACGACACTATAAACGTTCACATGGAGGATATCACTTCGGACGAATCAAGTTCACATCCAGGTACGGTATGCTTTCTTCTGATTTTGTTTCTTTAGAGGTGTAGTACTTGCCGGCCATCTATCTGATTATTTCTTTTCTCTGACTCTCGATGATTGTCACTATCCATCAAGTATTGGTTTGTTGGCAGTTATCTGCTTGGTCATTTTTGAAGTTTTCCTCCCATTTCTCCCATTCCCAGTTTTTTCTCCCATCAAAAGATGAGTTTTTTCATCTTTATAACACATTCACGACAAGGACGATTTTTCTATGGCTGCCATTTCCGCTTAGGGTACATTTCCCAATGTTGAGTTTGCGTAATATTTTTGGGCCACTGATGGCTTCTATGTTCTGAAGTTTTGATCTTCCAAAAAGTATTCCAAGAGAGGTATACAAAAGTTTATTCAGTTTGCCCAAAAAGGTTTGATCGTAAACTAGCAAAACCAAAAACTTCAGGAAGCATGCGGCCCACCTGTGGGTCGTATTTTCCGAAATGGCAGGACACGTGCGACCCACCGGTGGATCATATTGTCGTGAATGTGTTAAAGTCCTAACATTGCATTTCTCATACTTTTCTTACTTCCTCAATTTACTTCTACCACTTGATGGTTTTTCATTTTTTGATCTTCATTCTTCCTTTTTTATTCTACGTCGTAAAGACCCTGAGATAGTCTCCGTAGCACATAGAAGTGTACTAAAGGTATATGACTAATACGTCTTCGGTCACGACGTTCAGTATAACCGACGATGAACTTTGATGGCTCCGTGCCGATGCATAAACTGACATGTGGTCGTCATCCTAACAGGGGTCATTCTCTTTGATCGATCCGACATGTTATGGAATGACTCTTGCCTGCTGAGCTAACTTCGCTACCATTAGTTTTACTATGCCTAATGCTCGTAGAAGAATAGCCTTTCCCTCATTTTTAGCGCTGTAGTTTATGACAAAAGAATCATAGTTTATGACCACGGTCTACTACTTTTCTGGGACGAGAAGCTGTAAAGTACATCGCTCAACGAATCCTTCAACTCTCGACAAAAAGCCTACTTTGGCAAGCACTTGTGGTCGCGTTGCAAATGGCCAAGTTTCCTCTTTGCGGATTAGAAGAACTCTACTAACGTTTTGGTTGTCGTGTCCGAGCACTGCAGCAGCATATGTTAGAGTATAAGAGAGCGGCTGGTGTGAAACTCAACGTTGCTATGAGATTTATTGTGCTAATGCTTCGGCTTTGATTAATTTTGATGTTACATATATCTGGTTCCGATCGCGTTATTCTTTCAATGCTATACTTTTTGTTCGGCTTTCTGACCCTCGCAAACTAGCTGGATTACGACGAGGTGTAAATGTATGCAGCTTGAGTGCTTCGATGATGTGCGCGTAGGTTATGGAAGGGGCGTTTTCTTAGGCTTCTTACTGAGACCTTCGAATTTTGCATTAGTTTAATCCTATTGGTTGTTCCTAGGGTAAAGTTTTGTACCTGTTTTCATAGGGAAAGCGTTACATGCTTGTGAATACGTTGAAAAATCGTTTTAGCTACGGTCTTGTAGTATAGCTTAGCGAATACTTTTTGTTTTCGACACACTCGTTCGCTGGAATTCTATATGTTATCGTGTGAGCTAAAAAATTGCATAGACTTATTATTTGATAACATAGTAAAAAGATTAAATACTTCTTCAAAGCTCGATAAAGCTCGGAATTTCATTGGGTCAAAAGCAAAAATGAAGCCATTTGCAATTTGAATCAGACACGTCAAGCCAAAGGTGTGCATAAATCGTCGCTCTCGGAACCTTCAATAATTTATGCATTGGCTTTGGAGTGTTTGGTTCAGATTGGAGACGCCTTTATTTTGTTTTCGATTCAGTGAAGTCGGAACTCACACATCTTTGGAAAATCGGGTGAGTTTCTTTCTTCTCTGTTCCCAAAAGTCAGGGGTTTCTGCATTGTTGTATCTCCTATCATAATCTCTATACTATCAAAATTTGGGTTCCGCATATTTTTAAGGAGGTAGCTCATGAAAAAAGTTGCAAAGCTTAGTCGCACTTAGGATAACTTACCTCAGCCATCACTTTGTTTTATGATTGTATGCATTTGCAGAATGTGCGCGACGGAGTATGTGTTCAAATATCTGGTAGCGTCAAGCTTTGTTATTCAGCCATGCTTTACGCATTAATAATTCCAAATACCCCTACACGCACGATACGAGGCTATAGAAGGCATATAGGGATATCCTAATGGAAAGATTGATGCGTAACTCTTCTGTCGCATCACAGCTAGAGAGGCCATAAAGCATTTACACCTTGAAGCTTTATGATGCATTGGTTCGAAGTGGATCACTTACGGAGTAAAAAACCAGTCTTATGCTGCCTCCGATTGCGAAGTCTTGCATTCCTTGACTGAATCGAACTAGAGTCAAATTGCGGCTTTTTTCTTGCATGTTTTAAAGTGATCTATTTTTATATGCAGTAATATGTACTCAGTAGTTTAGTAATTTCAGAGCTCTACTTGAAAAAAGTAGGGCTTTTTAATTGTCTTGAGTTTACGGTATACTTTCTGCCACTTTCACAAAAACATCTAATTTTCTGTAATTACATTGTTTTGGACTCACATCTGCTTTGTTCTACTGAGTATGAAGGATGGAAAAAACCATGTATCGATTGCTAAGGGCCGATCCTAGGCAGCTATTTGCCTAGGATCGGCCCTTAGCAATCGATACATGGTTTTTTCCATCCTTCAACCTTACTTCTATTGAAGTCGATATAATGAGCTACACACTGAAGGTCGAACTTGTGCATTAGTTGGAAGTTCAGTTTCGTCTCCGCAGTCGTTGTTAGTTCTTATTCAATTCCTCTGCTCTGCAAGTTTGGGTGACCTTTAAAAGTGAACTTTGGCAAGCTTGCAAGTTTTTCAACGGTTTGAAATCTGCTACCAAGTCCTTTGTTTGATCAATTTGGACTCTGACTTCTAGCGATCGAGCTAGGTATCGCATTCTCTTGGAAATTACGGTATTTGCTTTTTTTGCAAGTTTTAGGGTTTTGTTAGTTTCTGTTTTTTTGCGAGCTTCTCATATTTTCAAACCTTAACTTCGGTTTTTTGCAAGCTTTCTACATTTTTTTGAGATATACTTTTGTTTCTTTTTGTGAGCTTTGTAAATCGAGCTATCACGACTTCTGCTTTTCTTTACAAGCTTCTCGTATCTCTAATACACAACTTTTGCTTCTTAGCAACTTTTCGTATTTTTCGAGCCATAACTTATGCATTTTTTGCTAGCTTCTCATATTTTTCAAGCCACAATTACTGCTTCTTTCTTGCAAGTTTTTTGAATTTTTCAACCATATCTTCTGCTTTTGCTTCTCAGAATTTTAAAGCCATAACTCTGCTTTTGCTTTCCAGAATTTTCCAGTCATAACTTTTGCTTTTTTGGAGCTTTTTCTACTTTCTTTCAATCATTTTCCAAGTTTTGGCTCGTTCTGAAGTAGTGCATAAAACATTGGACGCTTTTTTCCACTCTTTATTTCTCAGAATTTAGCTTTGATTGCTTTTTAAAAATCTTGTTAGTCAAATTGATTTTTTTCTGCATTCTATTTGCATAACCTTTAGATCTTTCGTAGCTATATCATTCCACCTTCATATAATGTAAACTATCTTCTCTTTCTTACACTTCAAAGTATTTTCCTGCGTCAAGTTTTTACTCACTAGAACGTGCCTCTGAACCAGACGCACAAACCGAAGAATGCGGCCTTTTCTTACGCTTGGGTTCATCTTCATACGTGAACTTGCATTCTTGCAATAATTGTTTGTTCATCTTGCAGCTGCCTACGCCTCTGCTGGCTACGAATCCGACGGAACGATTTCGAATTTTGATGAAAATATGATGATAAAGGGTCCGGAATGGGTCGTACCTCAAGAGTACTCGAGCAGTCCGATTGTAAAGGAGCTGGCTGAATCCTGTGATCAGGTATGTTGCCAGTTATCTCGCTTGAGTGTAAAGTAGGACGCATGCGAACAAACTTGCAACTTGCGCATTCTTTTCCCGTATCGTAATAGGTTCCTTAATGGAATCATGAGTTTTTCCTGAAATTCCCGGGATTCTCTCAAATCTACCCATCAGATCTTGAGATCATATCTTTTGCGGAATGTTCGAGCAAAAATTGGCTAAAGACGAGTATAGTGTTCGTCCTTTCTTTATCTGATTCTGGAGTAATTTTCGCTTTCACTGCATTGCTATCAGTATCGATCCCTATATTGTTTTAGAGTTTTCTTGCTTATTGAATTTCATGTAGGGTGACATCTTGGTGTGTTACATTAAGAGCCTCCGACCTGAAATGTACCATTCCCTAGCTTTTGATACCTCACTTTCACAGAAAAAACATGTGATCTGTTTTCAAATCAAAACTTTGTAAATTTACCTTATTTAGTTTTTGATTTTCTCATGTATCAAAAGAATAAACAAGTGATCCGTGCTTCAGTCAACATTCTGTAAATTATCTCATTCATGTATCGTTATAGAATTTTCTCGACTTTCTGAAATTTGCCTTTGACCTTTTTGCGTTCTCAAAAAAAAGTGATCTGCTTCCAGATCAAGATTTTGTAAATTAACTGATTTATGAACCCTTTAGAATTTGAAGTCGTTTCTGAAAATTTGCCTCTAACTTAACATTTTCCTGAAAAAAAAATCTAGGATCTATGTTTGAATCAATATTTGTAATTCATCTCAATATATCGCAATAAAATGTGAACTTTTTTATATGACTTTTGTCAGCGGACCAGTTCCTACTTCATAGGCACGAATCTAAGCAATCTAATTTGAGCTGATTCTCCATCTTTTTTTCTTTACCTCAAAATTTTTGATGCTATTGGCAGGTTACTTGACAAACTAGAGATTATACGAATTTCCAGAATACGGTATTCTCTTGTTCTTGAGCAGACTACTACGAGATGGCCGTAAAAGTGAGAATGAGCTAAAAATATGAAGCCCATTGTGGAACTGCAACGCTGGAATTTGTATTGTGGTCCATATTTCTTTTTCCTCTCAGATATGAAGTACTTCCTTTTGCCGTTGTCAGATTCCGATGCATAATGCATTCAATTCGTTCCCGTCTCGAAAAGAGCATAAGAATGCAGCATAATCTATGCGTGGCCGGGCGCTGTATTGCATTTTGAAGGTGCTTCATCTGAATACAAATGGATTTTTTTTGCTTTGTGAAAACCGTCGGCAGATGCAATTTTTCGCTGGCTATGCTTTTATTTGATCGTAAATGAGTCGTTGGTGGCAAAATTGCTTCAATGATTATTGCGAACGAGCTGGATAGGCGAAAAATGATGTTTATAACGCTTTGCAGCGGATAGATGAAGAAGAAATTGAGAATTTGCAAGTTAAAGACACTTTACTGCATCCAGAAAAATTCTGCGTTCTTTTTCCAGCTTTTCTGAAAAAGCAAAGCGAGCTGGTGCCGACTAAAAAGTGCATTTGTATAAATAGAAAAAAATCGATGGAGTTTTTTCGGCTTTGTCGCCGAAATTCCTCGTATTCACCCGATTGTCGACGACTTCTTTTGCCGCATTTCAGCGCCCTCGACCTCCGTCACTATCGAATTATGCTGGAACGCTTACAATGGCTTCGACATCACTAAGGTCAACGCCACGACCGGAGAAAAAAGTCTCGTTACTCGAACAAATTGTCCGCAGTCATCCGATATGGTAATTTTATCGAATTCATGAATTTGCTCAATATTGGTGGGATGGGAAAGGATGGCTGATAGGAATGGTGCAACTTGAGTTGGTTATGAGAGTCCAGTGCACAGATCGTATAGAAGCAGGCTGGACTTCGTTTTCAGGGCGAAAAAGCAAAGGGGTTATTGTTTTTGTGGGCGAAAAATGCGACGTTTTTTAGTCGAATTTTCGTTCTTTGAGGGTTCTTACATTCACGGCTGAGAGTTAAAGGGGAGTCCATAAAATTTCACGGAATTCAAGGGGGACATCATTTTTAAGAAGCCTAGATAACGAAGCCGAGCCCTGACCTGGTCAGCTTATTGTGTAATTTATTAGACAAGAAAGTACTGGATGAGCTTTATGGAAAAAAAGCAGATATGTGGATTTTCCTCAATTTTCAAAAATATATCCGAACACATCTGTATTCGTGCCGGAAAGTTTCAATGTTTGATATGCGGAATTATGCGCAATTTGAGCAAATCTTCCCATCGCTGTAAACGTCAGTGGAATCAGTTACCACAGAATTAGGGTTCCTCTTTTCAAAAATCACAGAAATTAAAAGTCATGGCAGGAACTCTTTTCCTTATTGGTCGTTTGAACGTAAATTTTGAGCTCATGCCCCTATTTTTTAGTCCCAGAGGTAACGAGCTTGCGATGATTTTGGAACGATTTTGCCGGCTAGTTTACGCCACACTTCTTCACTTAGGATTTTTTTTCGCCGTCGGCTGCGCCTCTTGTAAGATTTCTTCGAAAGTTTTTTTCCAACCATTTCACCTTTCCGAAATTAAAACTTTCCGCGACTGGTACCTGTGTGCGTTGCTATATCCCATCTCATTCTGAAAAGAAATAAAGAAATAAAAAGAAAGATTCCGACTTGTTTGAGGAGAGGTAATATGGTGAAGCAACAGCAAAGTGGCTTTGGAGATTTTGTGTCTTAATGTTTTGCTGCTCAGAAAGCATTGGAAATTGTATCCTTTCTTGAAAGAATTAGCTTACTTGATATGTATCCGGTATCCGTTTTCCAATAGTCTCTTAACTTGTCGGTAGGACTGCTTTTTTTCGGGGATTTCCTTTCCCTTCAAATCTCGAAATACTAGCTGTTGGGATTGAACTACTTTTAGTCATTGAGAAAAGCAAGTTTGAATTGGAGTGATAGACCGTTCCCAGCTACTGACATTATGCCGCATGTCTTGCTTTGCTTATCTCCATACAACATACGAACGGCCGACTCCTGCATAAATTGTCTCCTTTGTTTGCACCACAAGATTTATTCTGCGTTGTTGCGTGGGAAAAGAAGTGCTTGGAGAGCAAATAATTCGAAAAGAAATTTGCTTTGGATTTATTAGTGAGTGGGGAAGTATAAATTACGAGAACGTTTTTGCAGGTATTTGCAACATATTGGTCGACCAACTGCTACACATCTATTGAGAAGAATGGAACCGGGGGTGAGTGCTAAATTTTCGTTTGTTGATAGACATACATCACTTTAATGGCTGTACTATGAGGTTATGAATGGAATGGGCTCCGAAATTTATGTCTTGCAAATTAAACACTGTGATAGATGTTTAATTTCAAGAGCCATTCAGTTTCATTTGTGTGTAATTGCGCAAGTATTTGAGGTTTTTTTTTGCAGAATTTCATCGTTCGCGCTTCGTCGAAGCCTGGTTGTATGGCCATATCAGTACGATTGACTGATGAGCATGATATGCATACTGATCATTATATAGTGGAATATGGAGCTAGAGGAAGCATGGTGAGTGTAATCAATAAATTTCTTTTTCCTTTCTTGAGTATAACGCAAAGCGGACCTTTTGCCATTTGTAGGGGTACGGTAGGACTACTGTAATTGCTTGCTTTGGTTCGGACGTGTAAGAGCTGAATATTATCTCTACGATATGCTAATATAGATCATGCTTTGGTCGCTAAACGCCACATACCCTTATCCTACCGTACACCTACCGCATCCCTCCTCATAGAGTTTTTTGTACTTTGTCAATATTTCGAGTAGTGCCATCAATTTTTTTCCAGATTCGTCTCGAAAGCAGCCCTTATTCGTTTCGATCGTTGCCGCTACTCATTGAACACTACTGTTTGCATCCGTGGGTTTATTGTTTGAATGTGTGTTCAACTTATTTGCATGACCTGGCTCGCACATCTCAAGTGCTTCAGTGCGGCTAGTTGTCACAATTTCCACCATCTTTCTTGCTAAATGTTTTCTTTTTCTTTCCCTTTATGGTGGAAGCGTGCGATGGAAGACTTGAGAGAGTCTGTACACAGTGTCATCAATCTGACAATACAGGGTGGTTTGTATCGTAAAAAATCTCCAAATTGCATAAATCAGTTCAAATAACAACAGTTTATCATCCAATACGCATAGACATTTTGCATAAGATCAAACAAACTAAATAGCTCTACAAGCGTCCAAATTATTCTCAAAAATTCTCGAAAATACGTGCGATCATTTCCATTTGCGCGCTTACACAGCCGTTATAGGGCCCATTTGATCAAACTTAAAAAAATGTCGAGCATTTCAACACAAAGTAATGTTGTTGTTTCGCGCAGATACTGATTAGGAAAAGCTTGGATTTTGTAAATTCCACCTCGATTCTTGAGCGATGCCATCTTTGGAAGAAAAAAGAAAGAGGAATGGCCATAATACGACCAAAATTATGGGGAAACGATAGCATCTTTGTAAGGAACAGAAAAAAAAACGATGACAGTACAACGATGAGGAGGGGAGCTTTCAATGCCTGTCTCACTTTATGTAGATCATTCTTTGAAGCTGGATCGATATAACGCGCAAAGGCTTGCGACAATAGAATGACTATATGGTAGATTGTATAGCATTCCTAGCAGAGGAACTCGTACTATATGTTATGATTCAAATGATTGGTACAAAAAGATGAGTGACAGTCTTATGAGCGTGATCGATTGGTTCGTGTATCCGGATTCCGATGGAATCAAGCTCTTTTTCTGGTGATTTGTTGTTTTTCATACATTTTACGGTTCCGTCTGAAAATTCATCTTCAGTTTTCATCTAGTTCAATAGAAAAACGCGTGCAACTTCTTACTTACATTGACACATATATGAAGGCATATAATTTACATAATTTTTCAAAATATTTTTTTACAAATAGTCTCACAAAATAAATTCGTCTCTTCTGCCGGGTTTCAATCATAGATGCGGAGATATCAGGGCTCCGGGCTAAAATTGGTCATAGAAATTTTCGGGGTGCCGGAATTTATGAGTGACAGTTTCAATGCATGATCGATTGGTTGTGTGTCTGGATTCCGATGGAATCAAAATTTTTTTGGTAGTTTGTTATTTTTCTATGCATTTTACTGTTCCGTCTAAAGATCCATTTTCAGTTTCGTCTAGTTTCATAGAAGAACGCGTGCAGATCTCTCATTACATAGTCAAAGGCATATAAATTCCACATTTTCTAGATCCACCATTTTCTGTAAGGATAGGCTTACTAAACAAATTTATCTCTTTTGCCAGGTTTTTCAGTAGTCATAGCTTTGGAGATGTCAGAATTTTTGGTCGAATTAGGTCATAGAATTTTTGGAGTGCCAAAATTTATGAAGCTTTGGCATTTTTAACGGCCTAGCTGATTTCCAGCTTGATGGTTGTTCTCATGCGCTCGATTTTTGACACCTGTCCTTGAGAATTGCCGTCAAGATTTGCTCCATAGTTTTTTCATAGTACATCATTTTTTCGGTACAAAATTTTGTCGAGGCAAGTTGTTGAAAAAGCAAAAAATTGACTAATCAAACAGCGGGGACAGAAACTTCCGAGGCACCCCAAACAGATTTTACCCAGTTTTTTTTTTTCGCGAACGTTTTTTTTCCTCTTGTAACGCTGCGCTTTTTTCAGAGAAGAACTACAAGTACGCTTACGACTACCTCACGCAGTATTGGCATGTCATACAACAAAAGAATTGCAGTCAGTGGCCTTAATGGGACAAGGTGAGATCTTGTTTTCAACGTTCATGATGACAACTGAAAGAATTCCTCAAGTGCATTTCTGATGACACAAATCGCGTGGCTGTCGCGCCTAGATCTCTTTTGCCCTAATTTTTGTACAAATTCTTCTTCGCTTCGAAATTTGATGAGTGTCTCGACAGGTGAACGACGAGTTTCTCTTTGACAGCCTATTGAGTTGAGGTTTACAACAATACACGTGATGTGCAGCCATGCAATCTGATATCGTCTTCTTCTTCGCTATTGCTTTGCAGTTGTTTTCTTTCTGCAAATTTTCGTACATTTTCATACCTTCTTTTGCTTTTACTTTGACATTTTGTTAGTGTTGAAGCAGTGCTTTTTGTCACTGTTTGAGCAGCAGATCTCTGTTCTCATGACAATTTGTGTCGTCGTCGAGTTCTTGTCGTTTTTTTTTCGTTTGCCAGATTGTTAGCGCGATTCTGTGGGGGATAATGACATTGTGTGAATTGGATTTGCAAGGTTGCTTGATCAATTTTTTTACAAAAAAGTTGGAAGGGGAGAAAATGCAAGAGGGATACGGTTTAAGGGTATTTTTTTAGCTTTTTTCAGTTTTTCTAGTCAGTTTAGAGTGGAGAAGCTTTTTTTAGTGGGATTTCATATATTGGATTTGGAGTGTGCCTGAGAGTTTGCATAAGAGATTCTTGCACTAGTGTAAAATTTTGCTTTCTTTTTTTCATGGTTTTTTCTACAACTATACGATCAGCTGCTCTTTTTTCTTCGGATGTAAATTCTCATGAGAATGGGAGTCACATAAACCGCTGCAATCCACAGAGAAGTGCATTAGCCTAGTACTTGGAAACTATAGCTTGATTGCAGCTGGAGTGGTTGATGACTGATATCAGCACCCGATTTTGGGCGTCGGTAGTATTCTATGCACGCTTTGATATTTACTATCATAAAGACGTACTGGTCATTATTTTTGTTCTATGCGTCGTGACCAAATTATCAAAAATAATTTATTTACTCACCAGGTATATACATATTAGTCGCGTCCATCTTTTTTCTTAAAGCGAAATCTTGCTGAGAAGAAACAATCATAAGGCGAGCATAAATGATGTCATACTAGTGATTGAACACCTCTAAAGACATGCGTTCTTATTTTTTGCGGTTAGTGCCGTACCCTTATTAGAAAACCTTCAATTTTTTTTCAGTCTTGATTGTTTGTAGAAGAGGGTTTATGGCTAATATCTGATATTTCCTTCACGAGGTCCGGATTTCATATTTTTTGACCAAAAAATCTTGAAGTGACATGTAAGCCGAGTACTTTTTTGGGGTGATTTTTTGGGTTTTGTTGAAGAAGAATGTCCTAAGCACTCTCTTGAAAAACTATCATGAAAATAATAGTCTTCTGTGGGTACTGAAGGAATAACCATCAATAGTGTTGCAACTGTAGGGGTCACATACAGACGAGTAGAATTTCTTGCTAATATGTGCGATTGCATACTTTCAAGATGGGGTTGAGGTTGTTCATGGAGGTTAGATATGGTTTATCTTTTGTATCAGGTTGCCCATATTCCGTCCGTTTTGGATTTCAACCGCAGTAAATCATAAACCTCTTGTTTCTAGATAGATTCCAAGGCACCGTTTGATAGAGCAAATCAAGCTCTACAAGATGGCTACATCGCTTTTGCACCAGCTTTGATACATGTCGAGTTTCAAACCGAAAACCAAAACCATTCGCTGTCCGAAAAATCGAGAAAAAATCATAACTCCGTTTGAAAAAATCCTACAAAAATTCTAACTTGCTCGCGTAAACACTATCCATCTAATTGTAAGACATTTACAAACGCTGTTGCAGAAATCCTTCCATGGTTAGAAATTAAGAAAGCGACGATTTTCATGTTTTTGCTAAAGCGATGCTGTGCTGTCCCTACATAGATTGTTGTATACTACTAGACCGTAGAAGAACAAATGTAAATTTTAAGCTCTCTACAGGCACTAGTTTTTGAGAAATATGGATTTTAGCAGTAAGGCACCCAACTAGGGCAAGCTGTATTCGATATTTCTCGAGAACCAAAGCTTGTAGGGAGCTGAAAAGTTACATTTGTACTTCTACAGGCTAGCAGTATGCAACTGTCTATGTAGAGACAGCACAGCATCGCTTTAGCAAAAACATGAAAATCTTCGTTCTCTTAATTTCTAACCAAGGAAAAAATACGGCAACAGCGTGTATAAATGTCATAAATGGATAGCGTTTACGCGAGCAAGTTAGAATTTTTGTAGGATTTCCTTAAACGGAGTTATGATTTTTTCTATTTTTCGGGCAGTTGAATCTTTTTAGTTTTCGCCTTAAAATTCGAGATAGATCAAAGCTGGTGCAAAAGCGAGATAGCCATTTTGTAGAGCTTGCTTAGCTCTATCGAATGGTATTTTGGAACTTATCTAGAAACAAGAGGTTTATGATTTATTGCGATTGAAAAACGGACGGCACCTATGGGGCAACCTGATATTTTCTTGATTTTTCTCTCTGCTCGTACAATGTTAAGGAAGCAGAAGCGGCTAGAAGTCCCGGTTCTCTTACCTGCCACACCCCCCTTCCTCCCCCTCCCACCTCGCATTGCTACAGCCTGAAAATTTGCATACATAGTCAAGGAAAAGTACTCGATTGTATATACCTCAGAATTAAAAGAAAGCGAATTTTAGATACTTAAAAAATTTGAGAGTATGAGCGAAATGAAAGTTCTTTTATCTTGCGCATTTTTTCTGGGCATTAGAAATTTGTTACTGTAGCTAACTGTGAGCTGTCCCATTTCATTGTCAATTTAAATCTTGTAGTTGATGATAAAATCTGATTCCCATTGTCTCTCTCGATCTCGAAATTTCTCTGATATGTTTGTGCTATGTCTGATTCGATTCCATTCGATCTCGCGCTGTGCGAACGAACGCGTTGTATCACTCGTTTCCCCTATCTCGATATCGGGATTATAACAATTCCTCGACCTTCCCATTCATTGTTCGCATCCCCCCATTACTTACGCCTCGACGCTTCTTCCCCACTTCGTGATGGTTCCACTTTTATCGTTTGGACTACTTTTGAAGTGATTTTCGCATGATCCATCGTTCCCATAGGCACTTAGCTTCTGGAACTCTTAGCGCTATAAGACCTGCATACGTCGCATGCTTCTTGATATCCTTGAGAAAAGATTTCTTCTCGTTTGTTTTGTTCTGTATGGAAATACATACGAGCTTACAAAACCTGTAATTCTTACCTTACGGCGCCGGTTGCGATCCGGTTTTTTCCTTGGGATTTCTCAACATCGTAATTTAGTGCTGCATTTACTGGTTTTCAAAGGATCTGCTTGTTCTGGTTTTGCTTGAGCTGTGAGGATGAAGCTGGAGTTATATAATATGTTTAATAAATAGTAGTTGGGCTGCTTTAGAAGCTCGTAATGCGTGCTGGATGCTTTTTTCTTAACTTTTCGCAAAATACAAACTTTTACACTTGTGGGAAAAATGGCATGGAAATCAGTACGAAAGAAGTATGAAGTGAATTTCTATGCCTATTTAGCGTAAGAATGAAGGACGCATAGGAAGAATTAGGTGGAAAGGAAAAATAATTTAGTTTTTGCCATTTTTTGCAGTTCAGAGTGACATCTCTTCAGAGAAACATTTATGAATGATGTTTCCCATAAAATTTCCCAGCGATAACGGAGAAAAGCATGACACGCTGTGATTCAGAATTGATGTCGTTTCTATGTAGCTATGCTATTCCCGTCATCTCAACTCACCACCTACGCTTTCTTCTGAGAATCGTCTTTTTGATTGACATTCGAAATTTCAAGTGTCGTGCTTAGGCGGCGTTCACTGGAATTCACAAATTGTTTTGTGCTTTGTGATCCAAGTCCCCCAGTTTTCAACCTATTGCTTTAATGATATTGTTGACAAAAGTCAATTCGACTCTTCTAAGTTGGCAAATTGCTTTTACTTCTGAGTTTAGTTTTTAACGTTTCCAACTTTGACTTCTACTAAAGCCTGCTAACAATGAGCGTTTGATGTGGAAAAAATGTGGATATGAGTAAGGGATAGTAACTTTTAGACTACATTTTCGGAGGTTTTACCTGAGGTAGAACCTGCTTGATGTGGTCACCTAGACTTCCGATAGAACAAAAACCAGCAAAATCTTCTCCCATACCGCTTTTCACTGAGTTTTATGTGAAGTTTTCTTGTTTCGAGTATCATAGATAAAAGATCACCATCAGTGGAGGAAAACCATCCAGAAAGTAATGAAAATAAGGCACTCGCTTTTTGCTGTGCCTTCTCCCTTCGTTGATAGCAATGCATTTTTTCGATGGAGCAGACGCTGCGAGGTTAACTGTGATTTATGTCAAAGGAAGATACTTCTGGGCATCACAAACGATAGCTTATGTCTCAAAATCTGAAGCTTCCGGTGAAGAACGTTTCTCAGAAACGCTAATGATTTTGACTGACATTAAACATATTTACCAGTACAGGTACAAAAGCACTTAGCATCCACAGTGATTGACTTGTACAGCTGTATCGTTGATGTCAAGAGCTGGTGTCAACGCATAGTTGAGAAATTTTAGTTAGTAATCAACTACTTTTCCACAAAACTTTATCGAATCTGCTATTTTTATCCGCAGGTTTGATCTTATGCAAATCACGACAATATTTATTTGTTGCTTTGATTTAATCTTCTGAGTGCTATGGGAATGCGAGACATATTAATTAATTAATTAATTAATTAACGCTTATTAATTTTTTGTGTAATCTTCAAATTTCCAATCTTTTGATTAGCTACTATTAACCTTTGGTAGTAGGGAGTTTGCCATTTTGTTAGTTAACTTTCGGCGATAGTGTGAATGTTCAAGATTGCGACAAGCGGGTGAGAATGTGCAATTTGTCAATGTTTTTTTCTGCGTTAACTTCACTTTAGGAGAAAAGGGCTGTTTTCCTGAATTAGGAGAAAAGGGCTGTTTTCCTGAATAACATTATAGCAATAGCAA